AACAAAAGAAGCCAAATGACCCCCCATTCCAAAGGGATGGACCCGTTCGTCTATTTCAACTTACATGTTTTCTAAGCAAAAACAGGCTTCGTTGGGCTAATGTATAAAGCCTCGAACTCAACGGTATTCCTCACAATTGAATTGAAAAAGCTTCCTGGATGGGAAGAGAAATGTCTTCAAACTAGGAAACAAAGTCCAGTAGATTTTTTTGTTTTTTACTTTTTTGGCTTTGAGATATGGAAGTCCCAACTAAAATCATTAGCCGTTTAGCAGACTATAACATCATCAAGACTATAACATACATCTGCTGTAACACATCATATAGCCGTCCATCATGTCATGTTTCCAATAAAGATGATTGCACTCACCAAAGACGCATTAAATTATAATTATGCCTCATGCCTTATTATTTGATCGATCTTATTTGAGATGACAGGGATTTGGAGTTGGAATGAATATAGCTCATTTGTTTTTCCGCCACAGGAGCTCGGCAGGTGGGCGTGCCCCAAACTTTTCCAGGTGAGATTTCTTCTTCATAAAGTGGGAAATCCTTTAATCCGAAAGATCAGGTGTTTTACTTTGTGTAGCGACCTTTAAATTGCCTCTAATTTTGGTCACTTCTGAAATCCTTGTTGATAGAATTTTTTATTTATTTATTGTAAATATACTGTATATGTATTATACATATTTTTTACAGCACTGGAAGACATAAAAAAATGTTTGTTTGTCCTCTAATATTAAATATAAGACACAAACAAACAATAATCCATCTTTTTCCAATTTGTTTGCTTTGAAAAAGCTCCCATGAGCCGCAAGGGGGCGCTAGAGTTGCATGGGGTTGCTGACCTCTGGTGTAGGACAATATTTCAGTCATATGGAAGAGAATTAATGCCACTGAGAAAAACAAAAAAACACTCAACATAAACAAGTCAAATGATTTCTGACTTTATTCGCACAATTTTGACTTCTAATCCCAGGATTAAAAGACAAATTATTTAGGACTCCTTTTCCACAGCCTAGGATTGTCACTTTGATAAAGTGTTGTCACTCAATAAAGCCTTTATAACTTTATTGAGTGGCTTTTCTTTGTTGTTTTTTTTTTTTAAAGGATTGAGCATCATATTTAAAACTCTTTCAATGCATCCAAGCTCATTAAGTTCCTTTTGTGATTAAAAACAATAGAACTGGTAGAAACAGATTGGCTCGCTGACTGACCCAAGACTCTGGAGAGGAGACAGAAAACGAGTGTGAAGATCACAAAGGTCCAGTTCCATCTGTGGGGGCCCTCCACTGTGGACACCCCGAGGAAGATGAAGATCAGCGTCTCGCTCACACTGCTCCACATCTTCAGGAAGTATTTGACGGTGGTGTACGACTTGTGGGAGATGTTGGCCTCCACGTACGGCCGCATGATCACACCACAGGCAATCAACCTGTTGGGCATGTGAGAGAAAAGAGGTGAAGAAGCTCTAAAGCTTCCAGGGTTAACACTCATGTGAAGGAATGTTTCAGGCCTGAGCAGCGAGCCGCTGAAGGTCTGCTGTGGTATCTGACACCGACTCGACAGAAAAACCCAACAAAACCTGAAGGGTATTTTCTGAGCCCTGCACTAATCGCTGTAAGCATTTAAACACATCATGGGAGGAGCTTTCTTCCACTTACGACATGATGCCTGACAGATGGAAGACCTCTGCAGAGAGGTAGGCCATGTAGCTGTAGAGGAAGACAAACAGGGGCTCGATGACACGGGTGTGCGAGGTGAAGCGGGACGTGAAGGCCCCCAGGACGCCGTAGATGACACCTACCAGGATGCCACCGAGCGAAACTACGAAGAAAGAGACCACGCCCAGGAAGGCGTCGCCAACGGTAACAGTTCCTGCATGGGAAAACTCCTCAAACAGGTGATACAGAACCTAAAGGGAGAAACATCGCCTGTTAAAGGAAAAGTCAGCTCATATT